ATGCTAATTATGTTCAAAAGCAATTTGTGGCTGAGAGATGGAATTGGAAGATTTATTTAAATTCCCTCCGAAACAAGAATGAGTTTGGGGACTGTATTTGCTGGGGGGAGGGGAAGCAAAATACAGCTCTCCCACACAGAAAAGCAAGAATTTCTTCTCCAATTAACCCCTTTACCTGCCTTTGTGCCATTAGTTATATTAATGCCCTTAGTTTAAAATTTCAAAAGCATCAGAAATACTCTTGAACATTAAGCAGGGTGGGATAATTTATACAAAGTGCAGGGATAATTTATACAAAGTGGGTCAGGGATAATTTATACAAAGTGCAGTGAAGTCACACCCTGTCAATGCTTGTTTTTTAAGACATTAGGAACTAGGTGAGATGCTCCCAGTAAAACACCCAGATGAGCACATGTCGTTTGTTCCATGTCACCTGAGGCTCTGAAGCAAGAAATTTGCATTAATGTTTGGCAGGAATTGCAAGTAAGTCAGGACCAAGGTTGGTCACATCCTCTGAGCACAGGAGGAAAGTTTTCCTTACTTTGGCTGCCTTGAATAAGTCCATGGTGGGGGGATGCTCTGCCAGAGAAGAGACCTGGGAAGGATGAGGCCTTGGAGACAAGCTGTAAGAATTACATAAGAAGGATTTCTAGGCCAAAAATGTGCATTTTTGTCACTGTTATTTTTATGTATAAAAACAAGTCCTGGCACAAAGGGGTAAATTGGGTGAATAATTTTTACTCTGAAGGTTGTTCACAGTTGAGTTGATTGATTCTCTGGTCTTAATTACTTCTGCTTTGTGTTGGATCATAAGAGTCACAAGGATTGATTTACATCCCAAAGTGGATTACCAACACATAAAACAGGAGAACGACCGGTTATTGACAGTAAATAATGGAGAGAGTCTATGAGTCAAATTTATTAAATCTGTAGAACTTCTGTCTGAGTTTCCTCAAATATCATCCACTTTTCCAAAATAACAAATGACATGATCTGCATGAGCACAAAAAACCAAAGACAACATTTATCTACACGGAAACATCTGCAAATCAAGACCTGGTGGACTGTTTGCTCAGCACAGCTCAGTGTATTAGCTCTTCTTTCAGAAATAATAAAATCAAAACATTTATCCTATGGATGATCATTTTGGTACTTTATAAAGTAAAAGCACTGCGAAGTGTTTACAAAAGCAAGGGGCTTGGTCTTGTCAGAGGGAAGTCAATGGCATAATGCCAGTGAAGTTAAATACTAAAGAAAACAGCCACTGGAGCAATGAGCTGTAATCTTCCTTAATCTGTAATATCAGCTGTTGACAGATATATACAGTGTGATTAATAGGATGCTAAAAAATGATAACGCAGCAATAGGGACTTGGAGACTGCTCTGAAAATTTCTCTATCACATTTATAAATCCACCATCACTACAAAGTATGACAAAACATATGTTTTCTCTACCAACTTGCTTACAGGTCTAATCTAAAGTGCCATCATCAGACTAGGCAAAGTGGCTACTGGAAAGGAGACTCCTGTTCTGCTCCTCTCTGTTCCTTCTCAGAGATGAGAAGAGAAGCCCCACTGGGATCTGACCATCTCACATGGTTCTACAAACCTCCTTCAGACGAGAGATCTTTCCAGCTGGAGCTTCTACTCCAAAGATTTGTCTTGGAGGGATTTGTTTGTTTATTTATTGTTAACAAGAAATTAAAGGATAATGGGGGATGAACAACACATTTCCTGCATTTTGCAACAGCTGCTGCTTTAGTTTAAAGCAATGGTCTTAAATAAAGCAGTGCAGGGGGGCTGGTCCACAGCCCCCTCTGGGTGTCCAGGCACAGCCCCAGCTCCCGTACCAGGCTGGTCACACAACATACTTGCATTAGAAGGTTAAGATGTCTAGGTACAACACTGTGGCAACCTCTCTTCCTCATCTAGATCCTTCCTCAGGTTTCTCCACCCAAGGGACCTGCAGAGCTAGCATCCTAAATCTGAAGACTGCAGGGCAAGCCTTGGTATCTCAATGACAATTATTACTACAGATACGTTAGTACAGCTCCTGACTAGTGGAGATCTCACCTTACAGCCATGCATTTTTTTTGTGTGTGTATTTATTTATGAAGAATGCATGGGGTACTCAAAGATTTTCTACATCCTTGATGTAAGTTTCAACAGATGTTTTTTGGGCAAATGTCAAAGGGAGAGGTAAAAAAGTTCAGCCTGTGTATTTTTACCCTTTGCCCCCTGATTGAGATTAGGCTTAATCTTTTCAATATATGGTCCAGTATTTTACTGAGCTTGTCTTTTAATCAGATTATTCAGAAATCAGCTATTAGATATTGCAGTTCCTATGCCACCTTCATGGCATATGTTCATGGGTAGAGAAGCCTTAACATTCACTTCAAGTTCACACTGCAAGACTTCATACAGGCCCAGTAAAAATAAAGTTATCCATCCTTGATGATGCAAAGAACTGTTCTCTGTAGCTCCTTTTTAGGGGTCTGTAACACGCAATCAGAGCTCTGCATTGAAATGGCTATATTGCTAACTGGAAATAAGGATAAAATCTGCAACTGCTCCACTTGAAACAATGCAGTTTGGGCTTTGCAGGCCTTAATTCTACTGCAGAGTACACAGGGCAGCTTACAACATGGTTATCCACAAAAGCATTTGCTTTGGGCTGGAACAAGCTGTTGTGCTGACTGAGTGGCACAGCTCCTTTCCTGAAATCCCTTTCCCTGTGTTTTCCTCCCCTGGTTAGCTGTGACTCCTGGTTCGCTGCCTGCAGACCTGGCCTTGAGAGGCAGCCAAGCTGCAGCACTTCAGCCATCAAACGGGATAAAAAAACCAACCCAAAAGCAGATTTTGTGCATCTCCTGTGTCACCTGTGTTGTGCAATCACGACTTTTTTATTATAAGCCAGACCCCAACGTCAGAGACAGAGCCGGTGACTCTGCAGGAGAAAAAAGCGCCGTCCCCAACAGCTGGGATCAGGATGCGATGAGCCAGCAAGGAAAGCTGGAGACGTTTGTCAGCCTGACTACTTGATACTGCTTCTCCAGCTCAGCATCCCCAGCGTTTTGGGAGGCAGATTTATTTCGCTGGCTGCTGCAGCCCTCTCGTGGCCACACAGATCCAGCCGCGCTCCTGCTGCTGGGAAAAGCACAGCCCAAAATTCCGCGGGGGAGGAGAGCGTCTTGTAAAAAAGCACAACAAATAGTTGTTAAATAGCATGTTCACCGCAGAATAAATATATAAATAAATGGAACAGACACTTAGGATGCTATTTATTCCAGGTGTACAAGCAGAGTCGTTGATAAATTACTTGCTTTTGAAGAATCAAAAGAAAAAATAGAGATAAAGCACTAAGCAGCCGTGTTTTTAATGGGGTGCCCTATTTCATCTCTCCAGGCTGTCACTAAACACTCTGCTTTGAAGTGCTCCTTTTCTTCTGAGCATTTGCACATTGATTTACAATGGTGCAGGTAAATATTGTGCTCACAGATGGTTTTTGCTGAGTATCTGCTTATTGGAAATGTGTCTGCCTGCTCAGAAAACTCCAAGGAGGGATGGAAAACCTTTTGGGTTGGGGAAGATCTGGGGGAACTTGGACCGTGCCAAATTTCTGCAAAGATTAGCAGGTAGATCGTTCTTTGGAGCTTGAAAAGCAAGCCTGGTTTTGGGTGCATTTTGTTTTTCCTTTCCAGATAGAGACCAGAGACATCACTATCTCCTGGGAATAAACCACAGGAATTCATAGTGCAAGGAGAACAGGGATGGGAGCAGTGCTGAGAGCCTGCCCAACAGCCCAGCCTTACTCTCCCTGCCCAGTGCTGGGAGCCAGCACAAGCAAAGGAGATGCCCACAGAATAAACAATAGAATGGATCAAAGAGAAAAGCTTGTGCACAGGTATGGGGTACTCTGGAGGAGGTTGTCCAGTTTTGATTCATGTTTCTTGAACTGACAGCAACAGTACCTGCAGACCAGGGTAGAGATATTATGCAGAGAGATATTATGCTACTGTTTTCCCATTACTTCTCTTTTTTTTTTCCCCTACAGGAGTTTCAGGAGAAATGACTACACTTCAAAAATATACGATAAAAAACAAACCAAACCTAAAAAGTGTACCTCAAGAAAACAAAGGACAGAATGGAGCTAGAGTGACTGCCTGGGCTCATTACCTTCTCAGACGGTGCGATGCTACTCCTGGCAGTAACTGCATCTGGGCAGATGGTCAGTGAAGGGGGTGGGATAGGTTTAGCAGCACCAGCAGGACTCTGGATGACAATGACACCTAATGTTCTGCAAGCCAGTGCGCTGACCTGTGTGTTCATGATGCTGGAACAAGCCAATTGACCCAGACCAGACATCAAGAAGGCAGCGGTACCTGAGCCCCTTCAGGTGCACACAGGTGTGTGTTATCCAGCTTAAGCATGGAAAAATCAGTTCACAGAGATGGGCTCTGTGCCTGCAGGTATTTTCCATCTGAGCTGGTGCTTCCTGCCCTGAGAGCCCTTTGCAGTCAGGCTGGTGTGGCTGCAGGCAGTTTTTCCCCATGTAGTCATTCCAAGGTCTGCAGTGCTCTAAGGCACTAATTGCAGAGCCAAACACCGCTGGCATCCTGTGCAGCATCTCCCTTTGGAGCTGGCTGCCCTGGCAGCACCTCCTTCAGCCCCCCAAACAACTCAGGACCCTGTGGAAATAGTCTTAACTCACCTATATTAACATCTTAACCACGTACACCATATTTAAGTATTGTAGGTGCTGGTTTGCTGTGCTCAAGCTGACTCCTGGGGCTGCAGCACAAGGACAAGCTGCAGCTCACTGACAGGTCTTCCACATCCTCAGGCTCATCTTTCTCACTTACAAGAAACTCTTAATACTTCCATAAAATGGTGTTTTGCATATTTTTGGTTTTTAACTAAATAACCTCTTTGCTCTTCATTTTCTATAAGCCCGTATGTGCAGAACAAGATGTGACTTTTTTGGTTTAAGATTGCTTTTATTTTATACGGAGACAAACTGTAGTAAGAAAGTAACAAAATTAATATCTGCCTGAAAGAGCATGTGGCGAGGATCATCCTGGGATCCGAAATACTCTCCAAATAAAAAGGCCGATAAATTTTTAAGACATGTCCATATTGCAAGATGCTGAGAGGCTTGGGGCAGAAAATACCTACATTGATAAAACCATTGAAATGGCCTAGTGCAGAGCAACTTACAGCTCAGGTCTGGGTGCAGGAACATTACCTGGATGAAAAGCAGCAGGGACATCTTGCTGATTTTGTCCAGCACAAATGGAAGCAGTGGGTCCATACACAGCCAGCACAAGGGCTGCAGCCCCCACTTGGCTGCAAAGCAACCCCTGGTCATACAGACACGTCTTTAGATGTGTAAACATGCTGGCTACGTAGAAAAGTGGAAGTCCCAGTGCTGGAAGTACAGACAGGATGATTACTGTTAAAAAAACAAGTCCATGTAGGCTTTTAGTGAGATGGAGATCTTTACTTTCTGGAAAATATTCTCCTAGGGATGGACTAAATAGCCAGGGTGTAATCTTGGCCCTGGTGACCTCATCATGATGAGGAGCTTGTCCCACTGACATTGGCTGGCAGTGGGAGGCTGCAGCTGAGCCCCTCTTTCTTGCCCTTCTTGCCTGCAAGTCACCTTCCTCCTATGCTACACTCTTCTGTGACTGCATCACCCCCATCCCCACCCTAGCTTGTCCTCTGCAGTCAGTCTGGCTTTAGGACTCCACCACGATCATGCTGAGGTTGTTGCTGAAGATGATCCTGCCGTCCTTGGTGCTGCTGCACTCGGGCTGGCTCAGAGCCTCCCGCAGCCGCTGCCGCAGCGCCGGCGGGGCCGTGCCCACGAAGTCTTTTGTCCCCGTCAGGAAATCCAGCATGAGGCCGCCAGCTGCGTCCCCCTCGGTGAAGCACTCGGTGATGTCCCACCCCGACGGGAACTCGTACACGCGGTATTCGACTCCGAGCCTCTTCAGGACATCTGTGATGCCGCTGGAGGTGATGTAGTGGCCGCTGTCGGTGGGAGGCAGGCAGTCTCTGTGCTTCTTCCATAAGCTGGCCCACCCGCTGCTGTCTGCCAGGGCAGGAGGGGAGGTTACTTTTGCAAAGCCAAGCCAGCATTTTGCACCTGCAAAATGATCTGGAAATGCTCCCTCGGTGCTGGCCCAGGCCTTACCAGGACCAGGAGAAGAGCTTTCCCCTTACTTGAATCTACTTATAAAAGTCTGTGTCTGGAGAAGGGTAAAACTCTGTTCTCCCTCAGCACTCCCTCCAGAACTCTGCTGTTTAGAGGAAACTCCTAGGAGATTGTCTCCAACACTGGGATTGCCCAGAAGGAGGGATACACACAGAAGTACCAACATGCTGACCCTGAACATCCACGCTACCTGTTAACTGTCTCTTGGCTAGAATAGTGCAGATGTTTTTGTATATCAAACCTCAATTTTAAGTGCACATCAAAGAATATATACCTGGAAAAATAGCCCCACATAGCAAGAGAAACAACCTACAGGCAATGTGAGAGAGAGTTTTAATGGTAAACATAGTAAAGTGTGCTTTATCCACCCCACCGTGAGCCAGGGATTTATGAGTGACACAAGGGATAAAGCACTCTATTGTTTTTAATAAGTGCCACCGTGTTACAAGTGCCTCTTTTTCCTGTCCTACCATAAAGCCTGCAGCTCTTGGCAGCATCTATTGTCCTGCTGGGGTCTGGGCCACCACCGTGCAGAGATAAGAGCACCAAAAATGGGCCTACCCAGAGACCTGGTTGTGTTTTGACAGTGCTGATTTCACTGGGAAGAGGGATTGACCCCCGTTCATAAACAGCCACACTTCTGTCTACTAAATCTACTTCATAAGCAGGGAAGCAAGAACACAAAACCTGTGCCTAAGTGGTCCCATCAGACACTGGGGTCCAAGAGGCTAAGCCCAAAGATTGCATGCTCCATGTGAAATCCAGCACTGGTTTTAGTTATTGACTACAGAATAAGTGCTCCTGAAATCCCCAGATAAACACCTGTGGCCCTCAGATTCAAAGCTCTTCAAAACTCCAGGAATGAAGCAAAAAAATAAGGTCCCACTTACCTGATAAAATTATGATCAGGAGTTTACCATGAAGGTCAAGACAGCTGTGGAAAAACTTGATAGTGTTGGGAATATCCTCCACACGGTACAGCATCTAGAAAAGACAGTTACATACATACATACATACATACATACATACATAGCCATTATTATTAAGCTCCAAAGGCTTAAACTCTTTCTATAGTGTTTTTTTAATAGTGTACCAGTTGCTTCCCAGCCTGTCCTGACTCAACACACACATTTAGGGACACCTCACAGTGCTGGGCATCGTCAGCTTTGGTGTTTGTGGAGCCCCTGCAGAAGTTATTGCTCATGGGAGAGCTGTGCTAAGCTCTGATCATCCTAACTTCATGCATACAGCAGAAACTAAGGGAGGAGTGAAAGGCAATACTCCTGTGTTAAAGCAATGCCCGTTACCTGGATCATATGGATGAAGTCAAATTTCTTATGTGTGCCTTTCTCTTTCACCTGCTGTTCGTACTCCGAGGAAGTGAGCTGGTGCCAAATAAAAGAGACATTCTGCAGGTCTGGAGCTTGATTCACCAGCTCTGTTTTAAAAAGCAGAGAAAACCGTGAATTTCACAAAGCAGCAGAAAAACTCATCTCTCAGATGGATGGTCCTCCCTGTGCCCCAGGCAGCAGGTACAGCCTTACCTTTGTAAGCTGCCACGTGCTGCGGGTTGGGCTCTACGATTTCATTGTCAATAGGGACCCCTGGGTGCACGGCCTGCAGTATCCTGATCATTTTCAGATCCTGCTCACCTATTCAATAAACACAATTTCATTACTTTAAGAAGTGGGTAAACGTGATGAAAGGATGCCAGAGCATCTGCCACCACTACTGCCAGGAAATCCCCTGAGCAGGAGTGAGGCACGTTTGACCTTGTGGCTCTCATGGTAGAATCTAACCGTGTGTGTATGTGCCCTGCAAATTTAGCTGTTGCTTCTCCTCTTTTGCTGTCTAAGCTCTGGAGAAGCAAGCAGCAGTCTGTCCTCCTCTCCTAGGAAATTTCCAGCCTTTTTTGATGCCATGCAGGTTTTTTCCCAGAAATGCCATGATATACCAAGTCTCCAAAGTCCATCACCTGGTTCACCTGGATCTATGTAAATAAACAGCAGAGGCGGGCACCTTGCAGGGACTCCTGCAAGAGTTCTTGTCTCTAGCTGATGGTGGGGCCTAAAAATAGTCCTGCCTGTGCAAATGTCACACAGAGAGGTCTTGATATGAGATACTGCATCCTCCCTAGCCTTTCAGCTGATGTACCATGAGAAAAAGTCGTCATCTTTGGCAGGTGTTGCAATAAATAGAACTCAAAGTAGCTACCCATGCCAGCACTACAGAGACCTCCAGGGCAGGAGGAGGCTTTTGAAATTGGAGAAGAAATACCCAAGGCCCCTGAGGAATGAAATGGCAGCAGTCCAGGGTTGGCCAAAGGCACGAGGGAAGAGGCCACAGCTACGTCAGCTGAAGGCAGGTACACAGACCAGTATTGCTGACAGGAAGGAAGATCCCCATAGCAAGCAGCTGAATCATTTTAGACAGTCCCAAATTCCAGTTTTTAAGTGCCTGGGGTGGGGAGCACCAGCCCTTAGAGGTGCTGCTGTGGACTCCCTTCAAGCTTGGAGCAGGTGGGAGGCAAAACATCTCTGCCCCATGCCCTGGAGCCACTGATGGTGGCAAATGGGTTTATCAGCAGCAAGTGAGTATCTTAAAAGCTGTTTGAGTTTGGCTTTTTTCACTCATCTCTGCAAAATTCCTTAACCCAGTCCTTGCAAAAGCAGGTAATAACATCCTCAACTAGGGTGTCTGTAGAAAAGAAGCAGTAAAATACAATGCTCCACAGCATGGATTTCTCTGCTCCAGCTTACCCTGCCAGCAACAACCCTTCAGCACTGACCACAGCAAGGCTGGGACAGGAATGAAACCCCTCTGGCAACCAGCAGCCCATGCTGCTGGAACTGGGAAGCTGCAGCCCAGATTTAACACAGAGGTGAGTGAGAAAATGTGATCTGGGCCGAAACACAGGCTTTTAGGATGTGGCGTTGGTCACTAATCCCCATTAATATTTTCATCAACGAAACTAATTCTGGGGGCTCTGTGAAACCAGAGTCTGTGCCTGGAAAGGTCAGGGATCAGATGTAACCTTTTGCTCAGTGCCATCCCAGCTCACTCCCTGCCCAGACACAGATGGTCAGCTCATGCAGCCGTGGGCAAGCTGAGGGGGTGTGGGTCTGTACCACTGTCTCGTCCTCTGGGAGGGGCAGTTAGCCAGGAAACACAGGAGACTCTGGAGTTTTTATTTTTGCATTAAAACCTCTTCTGAAAAGGACATAAGGAAAATTAAGGATGGTGCTAAACGTTCGTTTTCCCCTTTGGGTTTCCTTGGAGTCAGGATTTCTGTTTTATATTACTTAATGAAAATAGAGTGTTATTGAGAACTGGAACCGAATGATTTCTTCCTGCTTGCTTTCTCATATGCTCCAACATATTCCCAGTTGAGGAAAACAATCCAATGCTAATTTTCACTTACTCAGGAAAACAAGGGGGAAAAAAGTGAGAAAAATACTTTCATTTGAAAGTATTAGCACTTAAAATTCATCTGAAAATACTTTTCAAAGCAAAAGTAAACTCTGACAAATCAAACTGCCGTTTCTTTTCTCTACTTTTTATTTTATCTCAGTTTCCCTAGGAGCAAAGTTAGCTGTTTCACCACTTTTTTTGATTTTTTTTTTTTTTTAACACAAATGCACTTAGAATTTTAACTTTAAAGCTGTTTTTCCAAAGGATGGGTTTCTCTCTGGGGAAAAATATCATTTGCAGTTAAACCCTACTTTTCACTGGATAAAAACACAGCAGTAACAAAGAAACATGTCTTGAAAAAGCTGATGCAACTGCATGCTAATGATTGTGGCCAGCTGATTTTGCAGTACTGGGAGCAGAGCATCTCCCAGCCTTGGCCTCTGGGATCCCTAAAGGCAAAACAAAAAGAGAGATCCCTTCAGGTGGGTTAGTCTGAGGCAGGACTTTGTGTGGAAGGAACCTCTCTGATGTCTCTCTGACAAGGTCTGAAGATGCTCTTACACCTAATCAGAAACAGGAGTCCTTGCTTTGAGGCATATAAAGTCAGGTGAGAGTCATCAAGAGCCAGAAACTAAGCTAAAATCACACACATCTCACTGCTCAGAAAGGTTTTAGCAGCAGCATTTTAGAAGGGAAATGGGGAAGGAAGGATGGAAGGGAGGGAGTGAGGGAGCCTCATTCTCATCCCATCTCCACTCTTCTTTCTGCCCTTCTCTGTTTCATGAGAAGCATTGTCACTAATGCCAGAGTAGTTATCCTCATTGCCCAAAATTTCAGTATAACTGTCTTGCTACCCACAGGGACCCCCATTCCCCAGCATCAGCAGTGCTGCCACACTCCTTACCTGTGCCACTTCCAACTCCCAGAACATTTATAGTCGATTTTCCAAGGCCGAGACTGAAAAGATAAGTGGGTGTTACTCAACCACACTATGTCACATGACTTTTGTTTTCATTCTTATTGCTTGGATGACACATTAGCCCAGAAATTTTCATGTTATGCACACGAATTGGGATAGAAGTTGGAGCATCCCTTCTGAGCCCAGGTGTAAGCCAGCGTGGTGGGAGCCAGCCCTGTATTAGCAAGCTCATATTTCAAAGTACAGTAGGCACCAGGGTGTAGTGTTTCTCCCCCTTTGCCAGAGAGTTTCCTTCAGGCTGTGGCTGGCACTGTGCAAAAAAGCCTTGGGAATCCCCAGGGCAAAGGGCTCCCTTTGGGGGTAGTGGCTGGCTGGGGTGGGCACTGTTGGGAATGCAGGGGCAAGGTGAGCTGGGGAGAACCTCTGCACCATCAGGAGACAATACTGCATGTAAATACCCAGAAAAAGCAAAACCATCAGGCTATCCAGGTGATTGGAAATTATAGAATATGCCGAGTCAGAAAGGACCCACGAATCATCTCTTATCAACATTAATCTTGGTTTAAAACTGGGAGGAAGGTTAGAATCTTCAATAACTTTTATCTTGGGAAAATTACTTATTAAAGGACTCCAGTCATGTGGTTCATAGCAGAATATTTAATAACAGCCTGGCTCAAGGATGAGGGGCCATGCTCTTGCTTTATAGCTTAATTCTGCTCTTGGGTATGGACTGTGCTGGGGAATTGAGTATCCCATACACAGTCTCAGGAGACACCACAGCAATGACTCCACGAGAGTGGAATGAGCAGCAAATCCTGAGGGGTGTGAGTAGTCAAGGAGCCTTAGTCCTAATGAGGGTCAAGACCCTTTGACAGACCCACAATCAGCATCATAGAAAACCACAAGGTTTTACATCGTTTAAATTCACAATAAAAATTTCCCAATACAATCTTCTAATTATTATAATTTTATTGCTTATTTTTTATCTGTATCTGATCCGGAGAATAAAAAAATTTGCCTGCCTAAACTTTTTTCTCAATGGAGAATACAGTTGCTGTAACATCCAAAAATTACCTAAACTTGAAAGGGCTTTCTTATGGTTTGGATCTAGGCTGTTCTGAAATTATCTGCAGTTATCCAGCCTTAATATATTACATCAATACTTCACAAAACTGATTATCATTTGCTACTTAAGCAATGCAAATCGACTTAGGATAGAAATAAGGAAGTCTTAGGGGATTGAGAAAACCAAGAATTAGTCACTAGAAGAGAATTAGAAATGTGTTTCTGTTTAGGTGGTGTGTGATGAAGTCCCAAAAGCAGGGAGAGAGCACATGAGAGCTTTCTTTTGGAAAAAACAAACAACCGAAAAACCCCCAACTTAATCCTTGGAAAATCAGCTAATGAAAAGAGATGGGCATGAAAATGAGGTCTTGATTCTTTCCTCAACATAAGCCAAGAGGCAGCACAGTGTATTAATTGAAATAGCACGTACTCTGGAGTCATTAAGCAGCATATCCTAAAACTCACTATTGGGGGATTTAAAACTGAAAAGCATTAAAGTTCATTCCTGCCCAAAAAAACCCTTAAATGTGTTTGCTGACCCTTGTATGCAGGTTGCCCTCCCAGGATAACGGATGGCTTTCCCAGCGGGGTGGAAGCAATCCTTACCCAGCCATGATGTTGGGCAGTTGTTCCTTGTTGAACTCATCCATGCACTGGTGCTCTGTTGAATGATCCAAAAATGACTTAAAGGCCTCCACATACTCCTCAGCTGTGAGGCTTCTCATGGAAGGGATCATATACAGCTCTTGAGAAACAAATATGGATTGCATGTTAGTGGTTTCAAGGCAAGTGAAGGGTCAAAGCACTTACCTCATGGAAGAAACCCAACCCAACCCAACAGGAGAGAGAGATTTGGGAAGACGATGCAGAGGTTGCACTTTCCAAGCTCTTCACACTCAGGGTTTGAAAATTATTCTTGGATATCCTTTGACATCAGCATTTTTGTTAAGTGCCTCATCACTAGAGTTAAGCCTGAGGAAAATGTCTCCAAAATGCTTAGGCAGATATGGGGACTGGAGGGTTTTTCTGGAAGACTAGAGAGGAGATGGTGAAGGGAATTGCACAGCAGGTCCACACCTGGTGGGGAGCCCATCACTTGTGCCCATGCTGGACAGTTTAACTGAGATGGGCAGCTACTGACACACTTCCTAGGAGAGGTGATGCAACACAAAAACTGCCACCTGCAGCTGAAGCAAAAATAGTCAACTCTGTTGCACCTCATTTCTGACTGTTGTCGGCATGGGGCTGAAATGGGCTGCCAGGGAGGTGAATTCCCTGCTGGGAACTGCAGCTCATGGCCAGGAAGGCAACTGATATCAAAACATTTCATCTGAATGGGCTCATATTCAAATGTGGTTGGCCAAGATTTCTCTCTCAGAGTCAAAACCAGGAATACTCCAGGGGTTGCAAGCAATTATTCTAAAAACTCCCTTTCCCACTGTCTCATCCTAACGACAGAGCTGTTGCCAGGGCACAGGCTCTGGCCAAATGCTTGGGTTTGAGGAGCTACAACAGGACTAAGACCAGAGGCTCAGGAGAAGATGCCCTGCAGCTGGGTACTGGCTCTGGGTCTGTCTCAGGCAGAGGGCTGCAGTAGGAAGGCAGTTGTAGTGCCAGCCTCGATGTGCGAGATCAGCGTCAAAAAGGCATCATTCAGTGGGGGAAAAAATCAGCTTTTCCTCCTAGACAAAATGAGGATGAAGCGCAGGACTCAGCAGAACATCATCATCCTCATTTTTGCCTTTCAGGGAGCTGCTTTCTTATCATCTGCTTTTAGTTGCCACTAACAAGAAAACTATGTATATCTCATCCAGGACTGTGCAATCTCAAATTGAATGACTCTGCTGTTTCCAAAACTACACGTCATTGACAGCTGTGTTTCTGGTCCAGAAAAATATCAACATCTACCCTCAACAATTTGAACTAAACCCTAACATAAACCTGAAAGCATCTAAAATGCAGTCAGTTTACCTTCCTACTTTTTTTTTTTTTTTTTAAACAATCTCTAACTCCAAAAGAATTAAAATACGTTTGTAGTGATAGTAAGCTGAGTGGGCATTTTACTTTATTCTCCTTTTTTATTCTCCCAAATACCTGAATTATCGTGTGGAGTTGTCAGAATCTCTGCTTCAAAGTTCATGCTGGGGAAACTATTCCTGTAAGGAAAGTATAGCACTTCAGTTATTTGAAGAACCTGTATGCTTTTTTGAAGCTGCATTGAAAATGCAGAACAAAGGGAAGATGCTCCAGGACAGATTTTCCTCTCCTGATAATCAATGAGTTTTTTTCTTTTTTAGTAAAGAAAGTCAGAACTTCTTTGTTAGCTGATCATAGAGTCATAGAATCTTAGAGTATTTTGGATGGAAAGGGGCCTTAAAGCTCAGCTTGTCCCAACTCCCTGCCATGGGCAGGGACACCTTTCACTAGCCCAGGTTGCTCCAAGCCCCATCCAACCTGGCCTTGGACGCTTCCAAGGATCAGGCATCCAGAACTGGCCACCTGCACCAGTGTTTGTCTGAGATGTGTTGTGGAAGTTTTTGTACCCTGGCAAAATCATTAACCTGTCAATGCAGTTGAAGGCATTAGACTGATATCACACACTCTGTGAAACCCTGAATCATGGGCAGAATAGAAGAAAGAGCAGTGAAATTAGGAGAAGGTCACAGTGAGCATCAGCATCTGAAGTGCTAAAATACCTGCTTGGCCTGTTGTTTCAGGGACCTTTTTGCTTTGCTTTTTTCGCCTTTTTGGGGGTTTGTTTCTTTGGGGTTTTTTGTTTGGTTTTTTGGTGTGGTTTTTTTGTTTTGTTTTGTTTTGGGTTTTTGTTTGGTTTGGGTTTATGTTTGTTTTTCTGTTTGTTTGGTTTTTTACTTCGGATTTTCCTGGCTGCAAATATTACACCAGGTAACTTCAAGAAGGTACTTGCTGAAAGGACAAAATGTTTTCATTCAGTTACATGTTTTCATTCTTAGTTTTTGGGAGGTTTTGGTTTTCTTTTTTTTTTTTTTTGTGAAGACTTCCAGCAATGGAGTCACACCTTCTTTGCTTTGAAAACATGCCTCATCTATAAAACAAGGATGAGGTGCCACTGGAAAAAGGAAGGGAGGAAATTAAACTGGAGCAAGGACCTCGCTTCTGCAAACAAAGTGTTGGGCTGAGGCTGTCTATGCAAAGGGAATAGTCACCTCCTGGGTAACCACATTTCAGAATAGAGATGCACAGCAAGACTTAAAGGTGATATTCCTGTATAACCTCTGTATAACCTAACACATCACTGCTCCCAAAACCTTGCTGTCAGAAAACGCTTCATGAGAAGCAGCACAGTTCTCCTCTGCCGTGGAAAAAGATCCCAAATGAAGAAGAAACAAGGTAGGAGGTGGAAAAGTAAAGAAGGGAGTCTTGTGGTGGGGCTTTGAGGTACAAATACGTAACAATTTGCTGGCAGGTAGCAAGGAAGTGGCCACAGGTGCAAATACCACACTCCTTGGGTCGATGGAGGCAAGAAAGGACTGAGATATCCCCAAAGTCTTGGAGATGCTGGGGCACTGCCAGAGTCCTGCAAGAGCAGTTGATTTCATCTGAGTTCAGTACCAAAGCCAAGTAATTATCTCCCATGAGAAATTTCAAAGGTCTTGGTTTCACTGCCTTGACCTCACTCTCCTCAGGAAAGGCCTCACAGAAGTTCAGCAGGAACAAGCCTGAACTCAGCCCACCTCCATAAGCTCCAGCTTGGCTGCAGGCCAGTCCCTCCAGTTTCCACTCAACTCTCTTTCATCTCTGCCTGCCAATACGGAGGACTATTTTGTCCCCTCAGCTGGCTCAACTCAGCAAAATGGTTTTCAGAACAAATGTCCCACTAAAATGCTGAGGAGTAGCATGGCATCCCCTGTTCCCCTGGCTTCCCCAGAGGAACAGCTCCATTTCTGACCGGTCAAATGTTTCCAGCCATGCCAGGAGACCTGCCAGGTGACCTGGGCAGACTGCAGCACAGGAATTCACCAGGACGGATGATGCCAAGATAACTCTCCCACCGTCACTTTTGCCATTTCTCCCCAGGCAGGGGTTAGATTCTGATTAACACTTGTCGGTGGCAAGGTAAAACGGGAACAAATGGACTTCCTCTAAAATCTGGCTTAAAATCTAGATCCTAAAATTTGAGTACAATGTTTTGGGCTGGTGCTGCCCACCCCAGGGCCCCAGTACCCCACAGCAGGACCGAGCTGGTGACTGCCAGGGAATGGGATGCTCAAAGGCTGCTGGTCCTGCCACAGCTCCCAGCTAAGGTGGAGCTTGTGTTAGCAAGGTTAAACCTCTTCCCTCCACGAACAGAGCAGGATGCATTATGGACTGCAGGTGCAGGGCACAGAGGGAAGTCACAGTGCTGCTTTAAGTGGTGCAGCCCCTTTAAGTTGAAAAAGTTGTTTCTAGGAATACAAATTGCAAGAGTATCTTCATAACTCATATACATTTCATTATACCTAAACTCAGGCTGCGAGGGGGCTAAAGGTCTCCTCCCTTAGCCCCCGTCCCTCCCAGGGCATGGGCACGTGTGCTGCCACTCCCACCTTACACACACCCACCTGTGACACAGAAACAGCGGGATGTTGGGGAAACATCATCCCTCTCCTTACCAAAACCCACTTACCTCTTCACCTCCGGGGCCGGGTCCATTGTCGGTGTGGATGCTGTCCAGGGACGCAGGAGCTGGACTCTGATGATCCTTGTGGGTCCCTTCCAGCTCAGAATACTCTGTGCTTCTGTGACACAGCAGCTGGGCACGGGGCCGGGGCTCAGCCCCTAGGTCAGCATGTCCACCTGCCGCCCGCACCGCGCCGGACGCTCAAACTCCGCGGGGCTGGGAGTGACCCGGGAGCGCTTCCACGGCTCTGCTGGCACCTGTCGGGACAGGCAGCGTCACTGGGGCGAGGGGGGGGAAACCCGAGCCCCGCGGGGAAGGAGCGGGGGGCCGGGGCGGGCAGAGAGCGGGGCCCGACGTCCGCAGGGATGTCCTCATCGCACGGGCACTGCGCTGCGGTCAGCGGGGAGAGAAACAAAAAAAGGGAAACATTGAGACTTCCAAACCTTTAAAGCCTGAGTGGAAGTGGCTAAGGAGTGTCCGGACGGACCGGAGTCTATTTGCGTTCACTTTTTAATATGCCGTGAAACCTTTCTCCGTGCTCGCCGCCCTGGGCAGGAGGGGACTCTTTCCTGCATCCTCGCCGCGCTGCTGCCTGATGGATGCGGCATGCACTGAGGGATCCCTGCTTTCTCCGGGGAGAAGAGGAGCTCACTGACTGCCCGGAGACCTGAGCAAGTGATTTTTCCATCTCTGATTCAGGGGGAAATGGGGCATAATGGCAGCACCTCTTGCGAGCACTGCAGGCCCCGCAGTGGGGCAGCCTGGCACACACCCGGTCCTGCCCCACGAAGGGAACGGGGGTGGGCGGGCAGCCAGGACCGGGGGCAGCGAGCCTAGCCTGCTCCCTCTCTGCTTGCTAAACTGCAGGGATTAGAAAGGAAGGAAACCTTTTTTTGGGACAGCTGTCCAAGAAGGCAGAGGTGGCTGGAGGTCCCCGGGAGGGGATGACACAGCAGAAGGTGCAGTGGTCACTGTTCCAAATAAAGGAAATCATCCTGAGTGCCCCCTACACCCAGCATCACCTTTTCCCCTGCCCACATCCACAGGACTGATGCTCCTTTTGCCTAAAATCTAATAACAAATGTAAAAAAAGAGAAAGGATTTAGTGACTTTCTATTTCCAAGTGAGGTCCTCTTGTGGAAATAGCACCATTAGGACTCTCTTCACTCCCTTCCCCTGAGGGCAATGGGTAGAACAGATTTAGCAGATGACAGATAAAGCCTCGTCCCTTGCTGAACCAACCAAAAGACCGCCTGCCCCGCACAGATCCCTGAGACCAGGGACCTCAAGTGGGGAGGCTTCACCATCAAGTGACCTGCCTTGATTTAGGCTAGATTTGGCTTCCAAATGGATTCAAGTTATCCACCCCAAGGTAGGTCCACAGCAGCATATTAAGCTAGAAATGACTGCACTGCTACTGCTAACCAAAATATTCCAAATATTTACTGAAATATTTTGAATAGGCGAGGAAAGACAAGAACCTTTTTGCTAGATCTAAAGTGCAGATTTGGCTCTGTTCGACCATCTGATCAATGATTTTTACATCAGTCAATTCAATCCCTAAACATTCCTACCAGAGGTGCCAGCCCCTGGACATCAACTGAGCACCAGTGGATGCACTTGGAATGTCTCAGCTGCCTCATGACCCCCAGCCACCTCTGCCTTGTCCCAGCTAAGCCACCCCTCCATTCCCCCATAACAATGCCAGGGATGGACACTCCGCAGGTCCCGGCAGGAAGCCATACCTCCCCAGAGCAACAGGAGCTGTTGAGAAATCTCCAGCATCCAGGAGCTGCACAGCCCTTGGAAACCTCCCTGTAGATCCAGGGGGTACTGATACCCCTCCTTGTCCCCTTGTGTCCCTCCCAGCTCCAGGAGCCCACGTAGGCGCATGCCACAACTGAGCCGGCATTAGCCTACAACAACAGCCTTTGTTCTCCGGTGCTGGAAACAACGGGACATTGTGGGCAGCTGCCCTCGCCGGCAGGAATTGGCAGCAGGGTGGCTTTGGAGGATGTACCCTCTGCAAGCCGTGTTTTCGGGTGTTCTGGTGAGCTCGTGACTAAATCCGCTCTGAACTCTCTTTGCCGTGCAAATCGAAAAAGCTGGGTTTTGATCATTGAGGTGATGGTTAAAGCTAGAGCCAGGCTGCAGGGAGAGAAAAACAAAGAAACTATGTTTATCCCCACACGCTGCTGCTGCAGAGGTCAGTTTTGGGCTGATCCAGCAGAAACAGGTTCTTCACTTTCCCCATGGCAAGCAATGTCTGAGGCTGGTGTTGCCCATGGCCCCAGGCCCCCTCTGTGTTCCATCTGCATCATCCCATCATGACAAGCTTGGACCTGCATCTCCAGGCAGGAAAGCCTGGATATTCAGGAATCAAATTTCAATGACTTTATCTTCTAAATAATGAACAACTTTTAGGCTGATGAATGTCAGGAAGGTCCTTGGCATTTTTACAGCGGGGTTGGAACTACGTGGTCTTTAAGGTCCCTTCCAATCCAAACTAGTCTTTAATTCTGTGATTAGTTGTTTATTTTTGAGATCCTTTCAGCTCCACCTAGGGCAACTGATTAAGGGTCACGTAATTCTTTTTGTGTAAATGTAAGTTTTTTTGTGTCACTGATTTTCTTGTGAGCAGAGGTCTTCTCTTCTGCAGCAGTGTTCCCTTTTTTTAAAGAAAATATTTTCATTGCTACATATTTTCAGTTTTCTAGACATATCTTCCAACATACAGCCAGCAGTTTCTGTACTCTCCTAAGTGAATTATTGGGTGCCAACATGTTATTCTGCATCAAACAAGTTCTGGTAAATAGAAAGATAACCAGCAATTTTGTAGCACCCATTTTCCTGATAGTTAATGAAAAGATTTTTTATTAAAGAAGAAGGGTTTTTTCTTTAATCCTATTAAATATTTAACATCCGGGAAGCAGTAGGTCTTGGAGTTTGAGCAACAGTATTTGTTTTTTATATGTGTGTACAGGATATTTTCCTGTAGGAAAAAGAATATGATTTCTGATAAATACTGAAAAAAAACAACATCACAGAAACAGAACCCATCCGTCTTTGGGAGCAAGAGCTGCCAGGCTCCAGTAAAGTTTGTATTCAACCTCCCAAAGAACCTGAAGTATCTAGGTCTGAAGACCAGTTAATTTTTTTTTTAACACAACCTTTCTTGCCTTTTCATTAAAGCCTGGCTGGTGGTTTGGTTCTTCCAGACCTTTTAAAACAACCCTTCTCAAACCATTTGACTAGAGGTCATAACTCATGTAGTTGTAATTACAGAGCCAAGGAGAGGGCAGAGGGAGAGTCTGATGTGGCTGCCT